GACTTAGCCAGCTGATTGCAGCATCATTTTTTCAGTTATCATTGAAGCTTAGTGGCTTCAGCAGATCTCTCAGCTTGATATATTTCATGCTCAGATTCTCATTCTGCACAGCAGTCTTCAATGATGTGTATGCTTCTGAAGAGATTGTGAATAATTATAATAAGATCTTCAGATTCAGCATAGTTATCTGTCTATGTAAATGTTCAATCTCCTGCTGTAGGTCTAAGATCTGATTTTCTCTATTCTTATTGATGATGATGATTGCATCAGTGAAGCTCTTCATAGTGAATGCTTGATTCACAGTGAATGTCAATTGTTATTTAACTTTCATCTCAGCCTGTCACTGTGTATGCAAGACCTCAATCTCATTTAGAATCCTTGTACATATACAGAGCTTCAATTTCAGTTCAGTGATCTCAGCTACTTTTCTTACTGCTTTGAGTAAATTCTCTGAGTGGTTCTGCATATCTTCTGATTCAGGTAACAGAGAAGAGTGTTGTTCATATCAGCTAGAGAAGGTATTCATTTCAGTGATTTCTCATTGATTATATGATGTCTATTGTTATTACTGTATTATTATATTGCTATATTACTGTATTATTATATCACTATATCATTATATCACTATATCACTCTGTTATCATTGTATGGCTTCAGTGATGATCACTCTCTCTTTTTATTCTTCTTTTGAGTAGAGAGTGAACTTCTTTGAATCTGGTTCACTGCTCTCATTCTCTTTCTCATATCTCATTCATTCACATCTCATATGTGGCATTCGCCTGAGTGTGGAGTTTTCCCTTAACAAGTGAAGCAGTATCAATCAGATGCTCTTCCACTCACCACTCTTTATACACTATCTTTTGAGGTGTTCTAGGACCACACTGGCATGATAACTATGAATCACTTTGTAGATGGAATTATCACACCCTGGAGAAGCCTGTGCTTCTCACTGGTTTTTAGACATGCTATCAGATGTGATTCAAAGGTTGCTTAAGCCAGTGTATGATTACAGGTGTATGCTGGCTTCTTATATATTGAATCTCATACACTAAATTAATTAGCGGCCGCTATGGCCCCTTTACATTTATACGCGTACGCTAGTAGTTCGGAAGCGGCCGCGTTATTATCCGACAGTCGTACGTTCTTCCGAACCACATCAAGACAGAGAAGACAGAGACAGAAGAAATGAAAGAAGAAGAGAGTGCAGAACTGAATAAATAACAGTGAGAGTTACTCAGAGCTAAATACTTATAATCTGATATATATACAATCTTTCTCACAGAGAAGAAAGAGAAAGTACTGAGAGAAGCTTAACAGCAGAAGAAGATAGTCTTAACAGTATTATCATCTTCAATTAAAATGATCTCTGACACTAAAGTAACTAAGAACTATTATTAGTGTACAAAACTGTAAAAAGCAGAGATAATAATTATCAAATGAACATCTACTGATCTTAGAATTGTATATGTAATTACAACATGTACAAGACTTCTCAGAAAGAGAGAGAGAGATACAGAGAAATACAGAAAACAGAACACAGCATGTGAATAACTTATTTTCACAATAATATTTCAGACAAGACATACAAGTCTCACACTCACAGATGTAAAAGAGTATGATATCTGTATTCTTATTTCTGAAAATACAGATATCTTTCATCTGCATCACAAAGTCAGATAACAGATATCAGAGAATGAACTGATACAGATCTATCATTTCAAAGAAATTCATCAGAGTAAATATACCTGTAATATTGAATTTAATAGTTATGAAAAGTTTCTTGATATCTGTGAATATCATGACTTTATACACAGTAAAACTCATAATGATTTCTTCTAAGAACAGAAAAATCAGTGTTAGAAAGAAAAGATGAAAAAGAAAAAGACTTATAATCTTAATACTGTTGAGAAGAAAGATGATTCTCTGATATAAATAAATAATTATCTTATTATAAATATTTAAAATAAATGTAATAATTGATATCTGTGACTGAGCTTTAGATAATCATGTTATACACAGTCTTTATACAATAAATCATTCTAGAAGTCAGTAAGAAAGATGAGAGTGTATATACTGATAAACATGATTTATTAAGTCTATACAATATCTTCTTAAAATGAGAAGAGCTGATAATGAAAGCAGAGACAGTAGAAGCAGAGAGAGTAGAAGTAGCAGAAGTGAGAATCACAGAAACAGAAGTAGCAGAAGAGAGAGACTCAGACACAGAGATAGATATAAGAGATTAAAGAGAAGTAGCAGAGAAAGAAACAGAGAGAGTAGAGAGAGATACAGAAGACTCAGTTATATATAATACAGATAATTTCTTTATTATTATATTCTTCAAGTTTTTAATTAATAATTTAGTACTGAGGTGTTTATTATCATCAGTGAATACAGATCTGTCAACATATGAAGATTTTATATAAATTAAAATAAAATATCAGTATCTGCATTCATGTAAAACACAATCAGATGTCTGCTAGAAAAATAAGATTAAGAGTGTATAAGAAGATGAAGACGATGTGTCATTTATAATAGTATATTTTAACAATTATTAGAAGATAAACAAGTTCTGATTATATTTTATAATATGTTACACTTACTGCTAATAAACTGCCTGATATGAGTACTATAAGAACACTTGTTGTGAAAACAGAGAGTTATCATTAGAAATATATATAATATGATAGATGAATAACAGATAGAAGATGTTGAATAAGAGAAGAAGCAGAAATCTTGAATAAGATAATAATGTTCATGATAATAATGATAAAGAAGATAATTGAAGAATGAGAAAACTTAGTAAATAAGTGATATAATATAGTGAAAGTTTCTTGATAAAAGTATACACAGAATACTAGCTGAATCAGAGATAGATCACACAATTGTGAACACTAGTAACATGCTAATTCACATGAAGCTAGAATGTACAACATGATTATATGAGTGTAACTGAATCTGATGAAAGAGAATGTAATTTGAAAGAATATACAATCATCAGATAATAATACAGCTGCTTCTGAACTTGCTTACAAATGTAAAGAGGTCATAGCGGCCATCAATTAATTTAGTGTACAATATATAAGAAGCCAGCGTACGTCTGTAATCATACACTGACTCAAGCAATCTTTGAATCACACTATAGTTAGACTTAGACTGGCCGCTGAGACCATGAATTTCATGTTTGATTCCATTTGATCTGGTCCCATACATTTCTTGACGTGAATCCCGCTGGGACTAATCATTAAATAAACATGCAAAGTGACTATATATCAGATCTCAAAATGAAACCATGACTTGAAAAAAATGAGAAAGTGATTCCATTTAGTCCCATTTAGTCTCATTCTTGGCATAAAGTTACTATTTTTAGACATTTTAAGGTTTTTTTTAGACTATTTTTAATTTTTTAAAAAGTAACACTTTTTGGTAACACTTAAATGAGATTTAAAGCCATTTAAAGCAATAAAAATAATTTAAATTGAGAAGTGGAAATCATGGTTCCATTTGAAAAATGTGACAAGAGTAGACAGTAAGTCTCACTGAGACAGTATGAAACTACTATCTAATGTTAGAACCGTGTAATGGAATCTGTCGAATTGACAATGAGACTATTAAAAATTCTGGTCCTGGTCTCAGACACGGTCACACGGTCAGTCTAGTTAGACTTGACCGTGTAACTGTATCTGAGATTAGAATCAGAATATTTAATGATTTCATTATCAATTTAATTATTATTATTATTATTATTCTTTCATTATACTTATATACAAGCGGAGCTTATAATAAGTACTTGTGTGATGTTAAATACAGGTCAAGTGCTAATTATACAGAAGAAAATACAGATGTTAAGACTAGACTAACTATGTAACTATATGATATATCTAAGATCAGAATCAGAATATTTAAATATCTTATTATTAATTTAATTAATCTTATTACATAGTTTTAAAATTAAATAGTAGTTTTATACTATCTTAATAAGACTTACTATCTACTCTAATTATATTTTTCAAATAAGATTATAATTTTCACTTCTTAATTTAAATTCATTTTATTATTTTAAATGACTTTAAATCTCATTTGAGTGTTATCAAAAATTATTACTTTTTAAAAAGTTAAAAATAGTCTAAAAAAAACCTTAAAATGTCTAAAAATAGTAATCTTATATTAAGAATAAGACTAAATGAAATTAAATAAAATTACTTTCTTATTTTTTCTAAGTTATAGTCTCATTTTAAAATCTGATAAATAGTTACTTTGTATAGTTTTTTAATAATTAGTCTCAGTGAGGTTTAGACTGGTTGCTGAGATTATGAATTTCACATATAATCTCATTTAGTTTAATCTCATACATTTCTTGACATGAATTCTGCTGAGACTAATTATTAAAAAAATATGTAAAGTGACTATATATCAGATCTTAAAATAAGACTATAACTTAGAAAAAATAAGAAAGTAATTTTATTTAATCTTATTTAGTTTCATTCTTAGTATAAAGTTACTATTTTTAGACATTTTAAGGTTTGTTTTAGACTATTTTTAATTTTTTAAAAAGTAACACTTTTTGACAACACTCAAATAATATTTAAAGTCATTTAAAGCAATAAAAATAATTTAAATTGAGAAGTGAAAATCATGATCTCATTTGAAAAATGTGATAAGAGTAGACAGTAAGTCTCACTGAGACAGTATAAAACTACTATCTAATGTTAAAACAGTGTAATAAGATTAGTTAAATTGATAATAAGATTATTAAATATTCTGATTCTGATCTCAGACACAGTCACACAGTCAGTCTAGTAAGGTTCACATCAAGAAATGTATATAACTAGATTAAATGAGATTAAACATGAAATTCATGATTTTATTAATCAGTCTAACTATAGTTAAGTAATAATCTTTTAATATAATTTCAAAATTCAGCTTTAGAGTTCAATATGATTTAAAGAAAGTGAATCAAATTTGATATTAATTTGATATTATATTTAATTTTGAAACATCATGAGTTTAAATTGAAATCGTATCAAGCTGTTTTTCTGACTAAAGTTAGTATGTTCAAGTTTTTTAGCATCATGTTCATTCATATGCTCATTTTTGCAAGTTAATATAACATTATATAATATCAGTTGACAAATATCAAATCTATTTGCTATGAAAATAAACTAGATGATCAAGAACCGGTTATCCAGGAACTTCTCGTTCTAGATTCTGATTGAAATCATGGCAAAAAAACGCTTAGAGAATCATATCTCATTGCTCCATCCCACGTCTACACTCTATATCTTCCCTTCTCGCTTCTTAGTCTTAATAAATCCTTGCTTTCCTCGCATACCAGACGCCCATCCGATCTGGTTGGCAAGCTTAATCTCAGTCCCCAAATCCTCTGCAAATTGCCACACAACCGCCGGGTTCTTTAGAAACTGCCGACCAACTAGTACTAAATCAAGCCCTTTCTCGAGAAGCCCGTTTGCATCGATGCCATTGTTGATGCTCCCCACAGCTCCGACGAGGAGTTTGTCTCCCACAGCCTCCTTCACCGCATGGGCAAAGTGCGCCTGGAAACACGGGCCTGGAATAATTTTCTGGTCAGGGTGATTCCCACCCGCGCTGACATCGAGCAAATCGACCTCGCCCTTCTCCGCTAGGATCTTCGCGAACCGCACGGTATCTTCGGATTTCCAGCTCGGTAGATCCGGGCGTGATTGCTCCAGCCACTCAGACGCGGAGATTCGGAGGAAGAGCGGCATGTCCTTGGGCATGTTCTGGCGGCAGATGGTGATGATCTCGCTGGAGAGACGGATGCGGTTCTCGAAGCTACCCCCGTACTCGTCGGTGCGGTTGTTGGAGATGGGCGAACAGAATGAGAATAGAAGATAGCCGTGTGCGTTGTGTATTTCGATATAATCCACCCCAGCCTTAACTGCCCGCCGCACAGCTGCACCCCATGCCTCCTTCACCTCCTCAATGTCCTGCTTCGTCATCGCTTTGGGCTTTGCCAACCCGTCCGAGAACGGAATGTCGCTGGGTCCCTTGACATTATCCGGCCAGCCATTTGCATGCTCTGTTGCGACTTCAGTGACGGCAAGGAAGGGCGCCAAGCTGCTCGCCTTGCGCCCCGCATGGGCGAGCTGGACGCCAATCTTTTGGCTCTGACTGTGGACGAATTCTACTACCTTCCGGAGAGGTTCGATTTGTGAGTCCTTCCATAGCCCGGTATCCTCCGGCGAGATTCGACCTTCGGGGAGAACAGACGTGGCCTCGGTCATCAGAAAGCCAGGGCCTCGCATGGCGATTCCTCCGAGATGGCTCATGTGCCAGTCCGTCATGTGCCCATCGTCTGCGGAATATTGGCAGAGAGGAGCTAACTGTAGGATTTCCAAGTCCGTTAGGTTTTTGAATGCCATCGGACATCTAATAACGTGACTAGAAACGTGAATTACGTACCCCGATGCGATTCTGGAATGTCACGCCCCTCACTTTCAGAGGGCGGAAAAGCTTTGGAGGCCTAGAGCCATCGGACTGGGGGTCGGCGGCGGTTCCTGATGAGGGACTTTGAAGCGGAGTGAAATAGCTCACACTAGGTGCTGGTTCGCTGCGGACAAGTTTTTGAGCAGGCATTCTCAATCGAAAGCAAAAAAGGATATAATATGATACAAGCAGCCGGGTCAGTTTTTTTTTTTTAACACAATTGCTCTATCTGTAATCTGTAGAGTATCCTGTGATCATAAGTAAGAGGTCATTCTTTTATGGTGGATTTAAAAAAAAAAATTTAAAAGAAAAAAAAAAAAAATCCCACAGACTCCAGATTCAATCTCTCTCTTCAGAACCGCATCACAAAGAAGGAAATAGAAAGGACACAAAAATCTATACTTAATGAAAGGGAATGATGAAACGCAGAGAAATGATGCCATTGCTTTGAAATCAAGTCTCCGCTTCCCGACCGCTGTGGCAGCCATTCTATCATGCTCAAAGCCGTGGCAATGGTGGGCCGAGGCGGAAGATGCAACAACAGAATTTGGCAACGATTTAAAGTTCTAATTAGCCGCGTTTTAAGCTGCCAGGACTCTTTTTCAGGCTTTGAATTCCGCACTTATGCAGTTTTATATATTTATTATATATTGAGAGATAATCATAGGTCAACTTGTTACAGGTGCTTCAGAGCCAAACTTGGCAACAGAAACATCAGCTGTCAGAGAGCTTGACTGATAGATGATAGATAAGTAATTCTTTAAGTGATGCAATTAAAGATTATTTCTAATACACAAGACAAATCAAGTGTTTCTATGGCTGTTCGTAACTTGTTCAAATGAGGAAAATGTAAGTGAAAATGCCATACTTCACATAATATTAAAGAGAAATAGAAGAATATCAAACTTCACTATGTTAAAAAAAAGCATGATGAGAATTGATATTTATTACAGTGCTTATACATGTATATTTGAATGTAGAGTATATATAGACTAATTAGTAAAATGATAAATTTCATATTTAATTTTATTTAATCTGATTTCACACATTTCTTAATATAAGTCTTACTAGAACTGAGTATTAAAAAATCTAAAAATAAATTATTTTTTAAAAATCAGAATAGAGCTGAGACTGAAAATTAAATTAAATTTTATTTAATTTATTCAATAATTATTTATATAATCAGAATTTAATAATAATTATTAATAATATTTATGAAATAATTAAATATATTTTTTTACAAGTTTATTCTTCTTTTTTATATGAAAATTATATTTGTTTAATATATTATAATCAGAGATACTAAACTATCTAATAATTTATATTTTACAATTATAAGTGTTTTAATTATTTTTTTTATAATTATTTCTGATAATAATAATAAATATCTTAGTTTGAGTTGAACTTTTACTTCATTGTAATCTCTGTTAATGAAATTATCAGAATATTATATATTATTAATATAATAATTAAATATATACTTTTAACAATTTTTCATAAGTTTAAAATTGATTTAATATGTAAATTTATTAAATTATCTTGAAAATAATAGTTAAATTTAATTTTATAAATATATAATTTTACTTAATTTTCAGTTATAATGAATATATGCAAGTTCTGTATCAAAGTTAGTATTATAATTTTATATAATATAAAGTATTATTAAAAATTATTATTTATTAAAAAATTATATTTCATTATTTTTAAATTTTTAATATCTGTTTATTCAAATCTCTGATAATTAATATTGTATAAATTTGAGATTAATTTAATATATAAGTTTAATTTCTTCTCTATTTAATTTTAAAAAAATGTAAATATTGATTTAATAAGAGAAATTTAATATAGTTATTACAGTATAATATTCTGTAAAAAATTATTCAATTTTATTATAATAATATATCAGTTTATTTTTTATAGTAATAATAGCTTGTGTTATATTATTATTTCAAACTGAATTTCTTTTTTAAATAATTTAACTATTTTTTAAAATAAGTAAATAAACTGTTATATATTTATCAAACTGACTGCAGTATTAATACATAAGAAATTAAAACTATTTTAATTATTTTATAAAATTGAAATAGTAAATCAATTATATATTTTAACTGAGTTTATTTTATATTAGAAAGTTTTAATATCTGAATTTTTTTTCTAATCAGAGTATTACATTCACTGCCCCAGTGGCCGAATGGTTAATGCGGCCACCCGGTAGCACCTTGGCGTGGGAAACCAGGGTGTGTGGGTTTGAAACCCGCAGGGGATACATTAAATCCGGAACCCAAGCACCTCAGGTTTCTAATAAATACAGAGGTGTACAAATCACTTCAATAAAATTGCTCTATGTTCCTGGGCTGGGAAGTTATTATCACATGTATTTAATTATCACTTCTTTGTATTTCCTATGTTCTTGTTATCTTGGTGTGGTCTCAACACCTGTATTTCCTCCTGTATAATCAACACTTGGCCTGTATTTAACATCACACAAGGACTCATCATAAGCTCCGCTTGCATATGAGTATAATGAAAGAATAATAATAATAACAATAATAATAATAATAATAGTATTACATTCACTAATTAATTATTTAATATAATTAAAAAATCTGAATATTTATTTTATATATTATACTTTACTGTATATTAATATGTTATATTATATTTAGTGATGTAATTTATTCATTTACCTATTAAATATTATAAAATTGTTATTATTATTTAAAAAAATATAAATTATATTAGCTGTTAGATTCTCTCTACAAGCTGATTACTTCTGTATAAGTAAGATGTTCACTGATGTAACATGGCGGAACCGAAGCGGTGACTAGTCAGCGGTAGACTGACCGTGTGACCGTGTCTGAGACCAGGACCAGATTTTTTGATAGTCTCATTATCAATTCGACTGATCCCATTACACAGTTTTAACATTAGATAGTAGTCTCATACTGTCTCAGTGAGACTTACTGTCTACTCTTATCACATTTTTCAAATGAGATCATGATTTTCACTTCTCAATTTAAATTATTTTTATTGCTTTAAATGACTTTAAATCTCATTTGAGTGTTATCAAAAAGCATTACTTTTTAAAAAATTAAAAATAGTCTAAAAAAAACCTTAAAATGTCTAAAAATAGTAACTTTATGTTAAGAATGAGACTAAATGAGATCAAATGAAACCACTTTCTCATTTTTTTCAAGTTATGGTTTCATTTTAAGATCTGATATATAGTCACTTTACCTGTTTTTTTGATAGCCAGTCCCAGTGGGATTCACGTCAAGAAATGTATGAGATCAGACCAAATGAGATCAAATGTGAAATTCATGATCTCAGCGGCCAGTCTAGTCAGCAGCATTATGTAGAAGTAGTTGTTTTAAAAAGCTGTATAAGTGAGCTTGACTATCTTGCTTAAATAGCAAGCTTGTAGACTACAGAGTTATTGTGAGAATATCACAGATATAATACTTAGTATACTAAGAAGATTGTATGAGACATGCAGTAACTCTTGTATATATTTTAGTAGAAGAAAAAGATGAATCACTGACTTCTTTAATGAGAAGTCAGTATCTAGCTATTCTATATAGATAATAAACAGATATTCTTCTCTTATTTCATAAGTGAGAATAGCTGAAGTAATATCTCAGCAGTATCTTATTATCAAGAAAGAGTAATCTGTTGATCTTGTATAGAAGTGAGATTCTTATATTCATTAATCAGATCTTTCTCTGATATATTCAAATAATATTATAGAGTGATTGAAAATCAGTTCAGATAATCTGTGAAATGAATGAAATTATTCATATGAAAGTAATAAGCTGTATGAAACTGCAGCAAGGTCTTGATATAATCAGACATATAATAATGCTCTTCTCTTTAAGAGTATAGTTCTAATACTCTTAAGATTACTGAATTAGAAATTATCTTTGTTATATAGCAATGATTATCAACTGATTTGACAGCATGTATGCTGTATATAATATAAAGAAATAGATGAGTTTTTCTGCTGATTATGTAAGTCTTTCTTTTCTCATCTTCATTCAATTCAAACACATGATAAGTGAGTTTCTTATATATTGATTTGAAATGTGAAAAATGTAGTTAATAAGTAACTTACAGATCTCTCAATATATTCTGTTCTATATATAAAATTCCCTGCAAAAGTGATGTGTTTTTAGAGATATAGCTAACAGTAGTGATAGAATTTTTCAAAAAGATCTCTCTTTTCTGTGAAACATTTTTCTTTCTCTTTTCTCAATTGCAACAGTGAGTGTATGAGAGTATCATTCTTGAAGAATAATAAAGAGCTTATTCTGATATTTTCTAGTGAGTAAATGTCTTTGTAGTGCAGCTGCAGTCTCCATGATCATCAAGAAAGTCAGGTTGAAGGTAGAGGTGATATCAATGAGCTGTGAAAGTATCACTCTCATTGTCACATCTTCTCCTGCTTCTCTCGCGGTCAAGGTGATAGTTGCCATGCCTTGCAGTGAGGTGTCATCTCTTCTGCCAGCTGGTGCATCTGTGTCCAGTCTGTTCTCTGCCTCTCTCACTGCCATTGCAACGCCGCCCCTCTCTTCAGTCAATACAGTGGCATATGACCCTGTGTAGTCATTCAGAGAGGAACTCAGAAAGAGCTTGATTTCAGAGACAGTGACTCTGAGAAGCTCAATCTGTAGTTTCTCTCTCACAGTACATCTGAGTTCTACTTGAGATACTGCTGAATTAGGTCTGCAGAGTTCTGTGATTTCTTTATCTTCTCTGTGAGAAGGCTCTGATGCAGCTTCTGACTAACACTGCTACTTGTCTATACTGTGTTAAGCAGCTGAAGAAGAGAGAGATTCTGTGTATCTATCTCTTCTCTCACTTCTGTTATTTCTGTTATATTTGCAATAATGACTTCTATCTCTCTGTAAGTATTATCTACTCTATAAGAAGGCATCATGTCAGCTCTGATAAGAAGCTCAGATGCTCAAGCAGTACAGAGTAAGAGTCTCAGAGCTCTAAGTATTAATGAATTCTGTCAAGATTAAGAAGATTTCTCTTACTCATCTGTAAAAGAAGATAAAAGTATGAGTCTCTGAGATAAAAAAACACCTCAGAATGACTGATCTCAAGAAGAGATTAGTCAGTGTCACTGTTAAAAGTGCTGCAGAGATTAATTACTAATTAAAGAGAATCTCACTTCAGTTAAAGCAGATAACTGAGATACTTTGTAACTTGATAAGTTAATACTTTCAGTATCTCTTATACTCTTCTACAGCATACTTCTCTGCAGTGCTGCAGTGCTAACTTTTCAGCAGATAAAGATATCAGTGCTGAAGACTTCAACAGTAAAGAATGAGTTTGATGAGAATGTGATTATTGATAAGTAGACTCTGATTCTCTCTTTTTACTTTTTCAGTGAGCTGCAGCCTCATTAAAATAGCAGCAGTCTGTAAGTTAATAATATTAATCTTTTTATTAATTTCAAATATCTCTTTTCTTTTAACTGCTTCAGGAATTTTATATCTGTGTAGTCTTATTAAACTTCTAAAAACTCTTTGAAAGAAAATAGAAGAAGAGTGCTACAGAGTCTATAAGATATTAACTTATCACTGCAAGATCATCTCTAAAAAACTATTTAAGAAAAATAAGAAGTTTTAAGCAGTATTTCTTACTTAATATTTCTGATATATAACAGAGCAGTCTCTACTAGCTGTCTTATAGCTTATAATCTCTTTCTCAGTATTTTTCAAATACTCAAGCAGTTCTTATAAATTCTCTGATAATAAATAATCTTCTGTAAGAGGCCTACGCTGAATAGATCAGTATAATATTGATAGGTCTTATATAACAAAGATAAAAATGTTAGAGAAGGAAAGAAAGAGAAAGTGTGAGAATCAGTGATTGAGGTGAATATTTATATGTGTATGTGATGGTGTATGTAGTGGAGCTTCGGGGCAGAAGAATATACACGTGTTCATAGCAGCCGAGGATTGGTGATCAGAAATGGCTGAGAATCAGAGTGTACACTACGCGTGTTCATAGCAGCCGTGGATCAGTGATTGAGAGTGGCTGAGAATTGAAGTGTATGCTACATGTGTTTATTAGCGGCTGCGGATCAGTGATCAGAAATGGAAGAATCTATGAAGTGTAATGAAATAGTCTATATAATTGATCGGGCGCAGCCCGCCACATTAGCCCCCTCTTTCCAGAAGCAGTTCCCATTGGTCAAGAGCTGCTGTTTCAGATAACATGGAACTCAGAGTTCAGGTCAGTTAATTGTAGCTGACTCATTTCATCAGATATTATCAGCTGCAGCTGTGAAATCTCTCATTGAGAATATCTTCAATCTCTTACTCAAGCTCATTATCTTCTTCTATGATGCCTGATAACTGTCAGTCAGAAGTCAGCTAAGAAGAAAACAGATCAGTGATGACACAGTGAAGCAAGCTTGTATGAAATACATTATAAATCTCTGATGATGTGTCAAGACAGTAGTTGTAGCTATCTAGAACTTCTATCACTTTATACCTGACATGATGATAGTCTAGTGTATGAGATGAACATGTGATTCATATATTCTTGAGATTCAATCACATAAGATCTTCTATCTTATACTGCTCTGCAGAATCTTGTTGAATATTGATTTAATCTTCTTAATCTTGTTTCACAGTTGTCATAAAGGCCTCTGCTCAGTCACAGATGTCTCAGAGCTTTGTTACTATATTATCAGTGATCTGGATCAGACTGCAGAGGTTCAGTGTGCACTGTGTAGTCTCTAGAAGATTCAACACTTTCATGTGATATCTGTGTGTAAGAAAGAACAGGCTTATACCTGTTGAAATGATATCTTGACTGTTGATAGTGATCTCTGTGTGTAGAAGAAGATCATATCAATCATCTTGTGAATAATTGCAGAACTTATGAAGATAATTCTTTATAATCTGAATTGTCTGTTCTGATGCATCATCAGTCTTGAGATGATAGACAGTTGACAGACAGTGTGTAATCTTGAGAACTTGACAGATTCTTATTCAGAGAGTGCTCACAAATTGACAGCTCTGATCTGATACTATTGATCTCAGTAATTTATATATTTAATAGAATGAACTCTGTAAGAAGGCTTCAGTGACTTGTTCAGCATTTATCTTATTACAAGATTTCAATATTACATTCTTACTTAGTCAGTCAATGATGATCAGAATGTTTCTGCAGCTCTTGCTCTCAGATAGATCAATAGTGAAGTCAATTACTATATCTCATCAGATTCTATCAGAGACATTGAGTAATTTCAGTAGATCTTTTCTACAGTCTTTTCATAAGATAATAGAAGAACAGTGATTACAGTTTCAGACAAAGTATCTGATACTGTTTAATATCTCAGGTCAGTAGAATTCTCAGGAGATCATTCTATACAGTTGTTCACAGCTTAGATAATTAGTTATATACAAATCATGCATCTCTTGCATTATCTGAGTGTGTAAGAATTTGAAGTGAGGAACTCAGTGTTATTCATGAAATTATAGAGTGTTATTGTCATTGATTGAGTATTCTGAGATATTGATTCTGATACATAGTTCTGAGGGAAATCAGAGTGCTTCTTAACATACTGCTTCAGTGAGAGTCTGAAGAAGTTCATCAGCCTAAGCTGCTGTATACCATAGTTTATTCAGTGTAGAGAAAGTGAAGATATCAATGTCAGTTCTAATTGAAGAAGTATGTATGATGCTGTGAGCTATTCTATCTTGATCAATTAATATCTTCAGGTTCAAGAGCCAGTGCTCTCAGTTCATTCAGTGAGTATCTGTTACATCAGATGACATATCTTACTCTCATTGTGAGAGAGCATCTGTCATCAAGTTCTGACTGCCAGAACAGTAGTGTATTGTAAAATGAAAGCAGCTTAGAAACTCAGATCATCATATCTGTTATTCAGTAAGTTTACAGGTAGTTATAAAGTATTTGAGGTTCTTATGATCTGTGACTATCTCAAATTTGAAGATACTTCAGAGTTCAGAGTCTCATTCTTCTAAACAGTGTATAATTGTGAGAAGTTTCTTATCATAGATCTTATAATTGCATTCAGCAGGACTCAGTTTCTTAGATATGAAGATACATGATCATAGAACATCTTTATCATCATATTGCAATATCACTTCTTCTATCATATAGTCAGAGAAATCAGCTTCAACAACTGTCTTATAATCAGAATCAAATGTTATCAGTAGAGAGATATTAATGAACATCTTCTTCATCTGTATAAATACAGCTTCAGTGTTCACTGATCATTGAAATACTGAGTCTTTCTTAGTGAGGTCTGTAAGTGATCTTGCAATATCTGAGAAGTTTCATATAAATCACTGATAGAAGTTAGCAAATTCAATGAAGCTTCATACATCTTTCACAGTATGTGAAGCTTCTCATTCAAGAATGGTAGAGACTTTCTCAGAATTCATTCAAATTCCCTTGCCAGCTTCTATAATAAAACCTAGATACTTGATACTCTTGACTTCAAAATCACACTTATCAATATCTATTGATAGTCCTGCTTCTTGTAGCTGTTGTAATACCTTTTGCACATGTTCTTGATATTCTTTTCTGAATTCATCAATGAAGATGAGAATGTCATCTAGATAAGCAGATACAAACTCATTAAGGAAATCTCAGAGTGCTCAGTTGATATACTTCTGAAATGTACTGAGAGTATTAGCCAGTTCAAAGAGTGTGACTATTCATTCAAAGAGGTCATAATGTGTTTGAAATGCTGTAAGCCATTCATCTCCTTCAGTGATACAAATCTTATGAAACACAGTGATAACATCTAGTTTTGTAAATCATTGAGCTTGTCTGATTCATGCTAGAGTTTCATTGATGAGAGATAAGAGATATTGATCTTTCTTTGTCAATCTGTTCAGACCTCAGTAGTTCACACAGAATCAGAGTTCTTCACCTGATTTCTTTGCAAAGAGAATAGAGGCTGTGATGAAAGAGTTACTAATGCATATGAATTCTTTATTCAACAGATCATTGAGTGTCTTTTGAAGGAGAAGAAGTTCATCTCAGAATATGTTATAAAGAGAGTCTCATGACAGTTCAGAGTTCTTATCATTCTTTTTCTCTAACTTGATACTGTGATCCACTTCAGAACCTTGTAAGAGAGATATGTTTGTAATATTATCTTTTTGAAAGACATCTAGATATTCATGATATTGTTGAGAGAGTTTTGTATGAGAATCTGTTATTATAACACAGAATAACTTTTCTAGAGTCTTTTTGATATCAGTCAGACTGATAGAATAGATTGACACATGATCTTGCTATCAGTGACTCTGTTGATAATTTTGATGATGACTTCTTTTTCAGAGTATTTCATACATGTTGACAGAGATCTGTGTCAGATTTATGATCTTGTAAATGTCATCTTTGTGAACTCTATCATTGTTAGAAAATATCAAGCTTCTGTTTCAAGCATTCAACAAGATGTCTTATTCAGATAGTCAGGCAAGTTCTAACATAAGATCATAATCAAGATTATCAACTTCATATGTGTAGACATCTTCACATTGATGTCCTT